TGTAATAAGGACGTCACGTGTACCTGTAATAAGGACTTGTGTGTTAAGGACATCACGTGTCCCTGTAATAAGGACTTGTGTGTTAAGGACATCACGTGTCCCTGTAATAAGGACGTCACGTGTCCCTGTGTTAAGGACGTCACGTGTACCTGTAATAAGGACTTGTGTGTTAAGGACATCACGTGTCCCTGTAATAAGGACTTGTGTGTTAAGGACATCACGTGTCCCTGTAATAAGGACGTCACGTGTACCTGTAATAAGGACTTGTGTGTTAAGGACATCACGTGTCCCTGTAATAAGGACGTCACGTGTCCCTGCAATAAGGACTTGTGTGTTAAGGACGCCACATGTTCCTGTAAGAAGGACGTGTGTAAAGGACGCCACATGTCCCTGTAATAAGGACTTGTGTGTTAAGGACGTCACATGACCCCGTAATAAGGACTTGTGTGTTAAGGACATCACGTGTCCCTGTAATAAGGACTTGTGTGTTAAGCACGTCACGTGTCCCTGTTATAAGGACTTGTGTGTTAAGGACGTCACTTGTCCCTGTAATAAGGACATGTGTGTTAAGGACATCACGTGTCCCTGTAATAAGGACGTCACGTCACGTGTCCCTGTAATAAGGACTTGTGTGTTAAGGACGCCACATGTTCCTGTAAGAAGGACTTGTGTGTTAAGGACGCTCACGTTCCTGTAATAAGGACTTGTGTGTTAAGGACGCCACGTGTCCCTGTAATAAGGACTTGTGTGTTAAGGACGCCACGTGTCCCTGTAATAAGGACTTGTGTGTTAAGGACATCAGGTGTCCCTGTACTAAGGACTTGTGTGTTAAGGACGTCACGTGTCCCTGTCATATGGACTTGTGTGTTAAGGACGTCACATGGTGTTAAGGATTCCGTAGTAGGGGAGGTTGATGACTACGATGTTGTCAGCCACAAAGTCCAGTGACTCCTGAAAAAAAACAGGCAAATATAGGTGCGTTTTTTAATAGAAACAACAGCATCCTTAACACCATCAAAGCAACTGGCAAATCACCAACCAGCCAAAAACTACAACTACTGGGAAAGGCTTACCACGTCCCATGCGATTGTGGACAGGCCTATGTATGCGAAACATCAAGACCCCTCAAAACCCGCATCAGACGTCAGTATTAAACCTCCAGATCAGCCCTATCAGATCACATCAAAGACATTACCGACCACAGTATCCAGTGGGACATAGACCCTAAAAGAGGGTGGGTGGTCAGACTCGCTGACTTGGTTGACATGTCATGTCATCGTATCCCAGTTGCGTAGGTCGATGCTCATGCTGTTGATCACCGGATTATTTACAGACCGCCGCCATATAGCTCGAATATTGCTGAGGCGGCGTTAAACAACAAACCAACCAACCAATTATACACGCACGCACGCACGCACGCACGCACGCACGCACGCACGCACGCACGCACGCACGGAATCGAAGCCCGACCCCAACTACCGTCAGCAACACCCGTCATGGTTTTGCTTTTAATACGACCCTCCTACCTGTTTCTTTTTATAGTGTTAGTGAGACTCAATGGTATCTACATCCTTAATAATTTCAGTATTAAAGTTGTTATTTTTACGTCTGCTATCGGTTTTATGAAGCTAAGTCTAATTTCAAAATGGACATTCAAAAGTGTCATTTGTTCTACAATATCATCGCACACTAATTTGCATAAAGCCATGGTCTGCTCCAAATAAGTCTCCTCGGACTTTGAAAAAACCGCATTGCTCATTTCTGCACTAATATCTCCTCAGTAAAATCCTTTTTAACGTGTTCTATCTCCCTACCACTGAGACTGTTGTTAGGCCGAACTTAGTTCAACAGATATTTCACACTTTCACATATCTACTACCTAAATTGTAGATATAAATGGGAAAAACAGGGTTTTTCTATTTCCGACAGTACCTTCAGACTACTCCACGGCACCACCAACACCTGACACCATCACTCTTGTTAATGATGAAGAGCACCTGCTTATGATATGGATATCAACAGCTCTGTTTTAGCAAGGGATCCTGAAAATTTATGGAAATGGTTTGGTGGCTTCTATTTCAAATGATCATAACGTATTCAGCCCCGCCTTCGTTGCGTTAAAGGAGCACTGATTATGATTTTCAGTGTAGAAGAAATATGTGTACATGTGCCGATTTTACGCTAAAATTTTGACAACTATTTTGGCTAAATTTGAAATACTGTGTTTGATATTTCCATTGCTTACGAACACATGCGACCAGTTTCTTCTGATCTGCGACCCCTCTGATCAAACACATGCGACAAGTTGACCAGTTTTCCTCTGACCAATCAATGCATGTGACCATTTGCTCGCCACCGTCTGGAGAAATATGCAGTGTCCTTCCTTGTACCACCCTAGCAAAGAGTGGGTGAATTTAGTTTTACGCCGCACTCCACCAGTATTCATGCGACAAATTGCTTCCCATATGGCGGCGGTCTGTAAATAATGATCAACAGCATGAGCATTGATCTACGCAGTTGGGATACGATGCCATGAGTGGACCAGACAAACCAAGTCAGCGAGCCTGGCCACCCGATCCTGTTAGTCGCCTCTTACGACAAACATGGGTTACTGAAAATCAATTCTAACCCGGATCTTCAGGGGTCTGTGCCACCTTGTAAGTAAGGCATAAACTCCTCATACAATGAGATGATATTACAAGATCCGGGTTAGAAATGGTCTTCAGGAACCCATGCTCGTCGTGGTTGGGCTCGATGGCTTCGTTAATGCATGTATCCCAGTATCCCAGTTGCATAGATCGATGCTTATGACGTCAATCACTGGATTGTATGGTGCACGCTCAGTTATTTACAGACCGCCGTCATATAGCTGGCATATTGCTGAGTGCGGTGTTAAACAGCACATAAACCGTTGTGCCAGTCATTTGATCTTGTACTCGCGTGTTCGAATCGAGCTTCGGTCACATCATAAACTATGATTCATCAGCAAAATACACATTGCCTACCATGGTTCGCCGTCTCCAGTACTCGAGAGAATATTATGAAACAGTTTCCCACCCAAGTCAGTGATGTGGCAAGTATAGACAGCCTCAGCTCTGAAGTTAAGGATTGTTCTGGACTCCATTTGAATTTTACTTTTCATTTTAAAAATCTGAATGATTACGATGACATATAAACTCGATGAAAAGGGTTTCTGGTATGCAGCCCCATTTTGTCTGATATGACAGTCCTCATCAAGAGCTGTTTCATGTGCAGCGGGGCGGTGGGGTAGCCTAGTGGTTAAAACGTTCGCTCGTCACGCCGAAGAGCCGAGTTCGATTCCCCACATGGGTACAATGTGTGAAGCCCATTTCTGACGTCCCCTGACGTGATATTGCTGGAATATTGCTAAAAGCGGCGTAAACCTAAACTAACTCACTCACTCATGTGTAGCGTGCAGCACGGTGGCTGGACATGTCACTATCACACCACGTGTACACAGACAGTTGGAATACCATTGGAGTATACATGAATATCTACAAGGACCTGTTTCACAGAGGTAACACATAATAGATGTACAGGGCCGTAGTTAACTATTTTAATAAAGGGGCACTATCAATGTTAAAAGAGTGTTATATCAATAATTTGATGCATAAAAAGTAATCTGTAAAAATCTAGGGGAAGGGGCAGATATAGCTGCTCGCGTAACGGGGTGTGTTTTGGATGGAGATTGCCTGGGTAGAAGAGTGAGTATGTATGGTTTTACGCCACTTTCAGCGATATTCTAGCAATATCACAACCGAGGAGTCAGAAATAGACTTTACACATCGCATAGCCATGAGAGGAATCGAACCCGTCTTCTTCAGTATCCCTAGCAAACGCTTTAACTGTCAGGCTATATCGCCGCCCCTACGTCATGTGAGGAGGCTCCATTGACTTGTAGGGTTTAACATATTGTCTTCCTTTCTGCCAAGTCTTACCTGTAATGTAAAAGTCCCAAATGAAGCCGATGTAGACTTTACCCAGACTCGCTTGAGCTGCTTTTCAATTTATATAAAGTTATTTGTTTCAATCAAATATATATTCAAAGACTAATCGTTGTGTATTGTTGAGCTGGAACGGGCTGATTGCATTAAAGAACTCATTTACGATGACACGAGTCAACATAAGAGAGAGGGTGTTTTAACAACAATGTGTCACACCGTTAGTCTCTGGACAGGTATTCCTGGTTTGGCGTTGTCCCAGGAGTGAGTGAGTTGAGGATTATGCCGCTTTTAGCAATATTACAGCAATATCACGGTGGGGACACCAGAAATGGGCTTCCATGTGGGGAATCGAACCCGGGTCTTCAGCGTGACGAGCGAACGCTTTAACCACTGCCCAGGAGCCGATAAAGATGCAACTGAATGGGTCGCGTGTTCTGTGTCGATGCGGTGGTTCATGGGGTGTCGTCGTACACAAGCGATGTTGTCTACTCCGACGGCAGTGATCACTGCACAAGTGACAGTTAAAATAGAAGTTGCTTCTTTTCACCCAGCAGTGAATGGGTACCCGGTGGCTTTAGATGCCCAAATGAATGTTTAACCTTCCAGCTTCTCACAACTTTCATTTGAATGTATGGAAAACAGATAGGCTGTGAAACATCACGAAACTGTAGAATTGGGATGATGTTTTCATTTTAGGTGTGTATTTTCAGTGACACATAATTGTTTTATTCAATGTGTACACAGTCTTCTATTTTTCATGTCAAAGAACCAAATCTATTATAGGACCTTATTCATGTTTTACAAATTCTTTCACGTTTTTCTTTTGAAGCTGAGCATGACAGTGTCCCGTCTATCGAAAAACCCATCTGTTTAGAAAAGCGCTTTAAGGTTGTGAAACCTTGTACAACGTATATATGTGCTGAGTTTGCACGTTATAATCAGCAATTATCTTATGTTACACGTGTCGATTTCTCATGTGAATGTCACCAGCTGTCTTCACTGAGTGCAACTCGTGTATGTTAATGTCCTCACTGTCGGTGGTAATACTGCATTATAAAGAGGAATAATTTGGGAGGTTTGGAAGGAGTTACTTCCCTTAGAAGTGCAAAGCTGTGATATTTGGGACGGGGAGCTGACGTGTGATGCAAAATGTTGCGTAATGCATTCGCTTGCACGAGATATGTCAAACCGTATATCAAAAACATATCCAAGACTCGGCTCCTGGCACAAACTGAAAGAAATCCATTGTGCAGATTTTACAGTGGGAGCCACGGAACCGCTCGGCATAGTCTCCGCCTCGGTCCATCGAATCTGCGAGTCATTGGCAGGTGCGCGTTTGTTCTAGTGGGAACATGTATGGGGGTGAAGATGTGGTTGATCAGCGCCGGGTGCGAGGAGGCCGCTCACCCAGACTCTGCACAGACTGAATACAAGGGGGACACATCACAAACGCTGGAAGAGGCAATCGCCAAATCCAGGGATATTCTTCAAAGGGTCAAGGTGCGCTCTCAAGCCAGGATAAGTATCATGAGCCTCTTTATACCGCGTTTAAAGTTATTTTATGTTTCAAATTGATTTTGTTGTTTTTGAGTGAAAAAGTACAAAAGTAAAACAAATAATCTAATATATATTTTCATTTATGAAACACATTGATTTATGTTTATACAGATATATTTGGGAAAGGGGTGGGTGGGGTGGCCTAGTGGTTAAAGCATTCGCTCGTCACGATGAAGTCGTGGGGTTCGATTCCCCACATGGGTACAATCATGTGTGAAGCCCATTTCTGGCGTCCCCTTCATGATATAGCTTCGAATATTGCTAAAAGCAGCGTTAAACTAAACTCACTCACTCACTATTTGGGTAAGCATGATAATATTAATTACCAATTCCACACTTTAAATGAATTCCATTCGCGGTATGCATCAGTTATTAAACCTTCATGTAACTTTAGTTCATTCTGTGAATTCAGGTCAACCAATACAACAGCTGTAGCATTAACCGTGTATGCATGCTATTTTTTACCAATTCCACATTTATTAATTGCACTCCATTACAAATGTGTGTATAATGTTTCAAAGCGTACAACCAGCCAGTATTGTCGATTTGATGCCAGGCTGTTATAGTTTTACACAACAGTAAGTTTGATGACAGTAATGCAGCATAAAGGAAATCACATCTAGAGCGTCACCAACATCAAATATGTCAGCATCAGTCGGTACAAGTTTCATGATGACTTTCCAGTGTTTGTTGATGATGTTACCATGCATACCTGACTGAATATATTGAAAAGCGTATTCATCTTCAATTTTGCAACATTTTTCAACATTTGTATATATACATTTTATTTTGGCCTCTGTATTATATCCCTTCCAGACAAGGCCTAAAAATGTTGTGGTTCGATTACCCTACCAACCCTTGAATTCTTGTGTCAATCCCATTATTTTTATAGGTATGAATAAAATAAGCTTTCAGATGCCATTGTTTTTTCCTACCCGCCGGCCGTATCACATCGGCCATTCTGATAGAAAAGTCAATATTATCGCTACAAGTGTGCAATCTTAAACTTGATTGAATAAAGAATTACACATCGATAAATTTGCTATTAGTTTGTATTGACATTCTGTTGGAGCTAGCCTCATATTGACTAGTATGATCATCCAACAGGCAGTCATACCCCATTTCCCTTAGCCACATGTGTCGTACAGGCCAGGTGTCCTGTCGTGGCTATTGTTTATATCAATCAAAACCGGTTTTCTGTATCATATATTCCAAATGTGTTGGGTATAAATACTGCCCCACTTTGTGTATATATATGTATTTTTATATTTCCCATTGGCCCTTAAACTTAATGTGACTTTCACCTCACCTCAGGTGGGGCCCTATGTAAATCCTCTGATAGGAGGGGTGTGACGATTCTTTTGGGTTATCAAATTAAAAGTAATTTATGTTAATACTCTTTGGGATTGTGTGCTCATATATGCACATATGCTTTTGTACCAATATTGTATTTATTTGTCCTTTAATAATATCGTTTCCCCTAATAAGTATTGTCATCACATCCTATATATCAGTCGGATTATTGTTAATTCTCATAATTGTATCTGTACAATGGCTGTTTCTGCCTGCACTGTCGAGGTGACAACAAGCCATCTTGTTGTTTAGGTTTCACCTGGACTGTGCAGTCGGCACTTGCAACTCTATAACCAAGACTTTTATTTTAATACATATTATTACTGTCTTTTTGTGTTGTGTCATCTTTGACTGGAGCACTTCTCGTAGTAGACACACTTGCCCATCCCTTTTCCCGTGAGACTTAATTGTAGCTAAGATACATAGCGTTCATGTCAGTGAACGCTATGTATCTTAGCTAACGTAACTGTTACGCAACCACAGCAATTACCAAAGTCTTACATCTAGATTTACAAGCACCACTTGTTAAGTGGGTTTTGACTTGCATCACTTCAAGCTTTCCTTCGATATTTGGCTGTCTCAGTGGGACAAACTGGAAGATTGTTTGAAGTGGTTCATCACACAAGATCAGTGAGTGAGGTTCTACACAGCTTTTAGCAATATTCTAGCAATATCACGGCAGGGGGCATCACGGCAGGGGACACCAGAAATGGTCTTCACACATTGTACCCATGTATATCACTGTACCAGGGTCAATGTTAATAGCGGCGTATAGTGGATTGACAAGTGATTTTACATGTGCCATGCTTTAACACCCCTGCGGGTCGAACCAGGGTTTTGGCGAGATGAACGAATGCTTTAACCACTAGGCTACCCCACTGCCCCTTAGGGTTGTTGTATGAATCCTGTGTATCAGTGTTGATCACATGTTTCCTACATTCCAGGATGAGACTGGCAGTCCGGGCATCGTGGTGGGGGTCAGCGTGGATGGGAAGCAGGTGTGGAACCTAGGTGAGTCACGCGTGTCACACAGATCTTAGCCTCAAAACATACTACTCCAAAGTACTAAAGCCAGCATTTAAAATACCTGCCTGCCCGACAGGGGACGGGTTATTTTCAACACGGACTGCCAGATTCTCAAATTCACCTGCCCGACGGTCGGGTTAAAATTTAGACATGTACTAATATATGAAGATATTTTGTGGGCAGGTAAGTTTTGGTCAGGGCTGGCAAGTTTTACATCTAACCAGCCCTGTGGTCTGGCTGAAATGTTTAGGAGTTTCATACCCTGGTAAAGCAAGTTAAAATTTTCATTGTTAATCTAGCAAGGTTTTACAGTATGGTGCAGTTAAAACGGACTCACAGCTCTAATTTTGGTTTGTTAATCTGGCAAGGTTTTACAGTATGGTGCAGTTATAACGGACTCACAGCTCTAATTTTGGTTTGTTAATCTGGCAAGGTTTTACAGTATGGTGCCATTATAACGGACTCACAGCTCTAATTTTGGTTTGTTAATCTAGCAAGGTTTTACAGTATGGTGCAGTTATAACGGACTCACAGCTCTAACTTTGGTTTGTTAATCTAGCAAGGTTTTACAGTATGGTGCAGTTATAACGGACTCACAGCTCTAATTTTGGTTTGTTTAATATGGCAAGGTTTTACAGTATGGTGCAGTTATAGCGGACTCACAGCTCTAACTTTGGTTTGTTAATCTAGCAAGGTTTTACAGTATGGTGCTGTTATAACGGACTCACAGCTCTAACTTTGGTTTGTTAATCTAGCAAGGTTTTACAGTATGGTGCAGTTATAACGGACTCACAGCTCTAACTTTGGTTTGTTAATCTAGCAAGGTTTTACAGTATGGTGCAGTTAAAACGGACTCACAGCTCTAATTTTGGTTTGTTAATCTAGCAAGGTTTTACAGTATGGTGCCATTATAACGGACTCACAGCTCTAATTTTGGTTTGTTAATCTGGCAAGGTTTTACAGTATGGTGCTGTTATAGCGGACTCACAGCTCTAACTTTGGTTTGTTAATCTAGCAAGGTTTTACAGTATGGTGCAGTTATAGCGGACTCACAGCTCTAACTTTGGTTTGTTAATCTAGCAAGGTTTTACAGTATGGTGCAGTTATAAGGACTCACAGCTCTAACTTTGGTTTGTTAATCTAGCAAGGTTTTACAGTATGGTGCAGTTATAACGGACTCACAGCTCTAACTTTGGTTTGTTAATCTAGCAAGGTTTTACAGTATGGTGCCATTATAACGGACTCACAGCTCTAACTTTGGTTTGTTAATCTAGCAAGGTTTTACAGTATGGTGCCATTATAAGCGGACTCACAGCTCTAACTTTGGTTTTGTTAATCTAGCAAGGTTTTACAGTATGGTGCCATTATAGCGGACTCACAGCTCTAACTTTGGTTTGTTAATCTGGCAAGGTTTTACTGGTATGGTGCAGTTAAAGCGGACTCACAGCTCTAACTTTGGTTTGTTAATCTAGCAAGGTTTTACAGTATGGTGCAGTTATAACGGACTCACAGCTCTAACTTTGGTTTGTTAATCTAGCAAGGTTTTACAGTATGGTGCAGTTATAACGGACTCACAGCTCTAACTTTGGTTTGTTAATCTAGCAAGGTTTTACAGTATGGTGCCATTATAGCGGACTCACAGCTCTAACTTTGGTTTGTTAATCTAGCAAGGTTTTACAGTATGGTGCCATTATAGCGGACTCACAGCTCTAACTTTGGTTTGTTAATCTAGCAAGGTTTTACGGTATGGTGCAGTTAAAACGGACTCACAGCCCTAACTTTGGTTTGTTAATCTAGCAAGGTTTTACAGTATGGTGCAGTTAAAACGGACTCACAGCTCTAATTTTGGTTTGTTAATCTAGCAAGGTTTTACAGTATGGTGCCATTATAACGGACTCACAGCTCTAATTTTGGTTTGTTAATCTAGCAAGGTTTTACAGTATGGTGCCATTATAACGGACTCACAGCTCTAACTTTGGTTTGTTAATCTAGCAAGGTTTTACAGTATGGTGCAGTTATAACGGACTCACAGCTCTAATTTTGGTTTGTTTAATATGGCAAGGTTTTACAGTCTGTCGCCATTATAACGGACTCACAGCTCTAATTTGGGTTTGTTAATCTGGCAAGGTTTTACAGTATGGTGCAGTTATAACGGACTCACAGCTCTAAGTTTGGTTTGTTATTGATGGAGCTTGTTTCACGGCTGAAACAATTTGACTCAAAAGGAGACAATTAAGTGTCTGTGACCAAATGCCAGTTAATTGTCTGGTCTGTGATGCCATATGTTGAGTCGCGGCGTTAAACAATACTCAATCGTATTCTTCGACAGTAACAGTCTGTGATGTATGTTAATTACGGTCTGGTGATAGCATGTTGTTGACGTCTAAGTTTCTACGACAGGGTTGTAATTAGGTCTGTGATGTATGTTGACGTCTACGTTTCTTCGACAGGGTTGTAATTAGGTCTGTGATGCATGTTGACGTCTACGTTTCTGCGACAGGGTTGTAATTAGGTCTGTGATGCATGCTAACGTCTACGTTTCTGCGACAGGGCTCGGCTACCAAGATGTAGAGAACCGAGTCGCATGTACTCCAGACACAGTAATGAGGATCGCTAGCATCAGCAAACCCATCACCATGGCGGTTGCCGGCAAACTGAAGGAGATGGGTCTGCTGGATCTGGATAGGCCTGTCCAAGATTACGTCCCATACTTCCCGGAAAAGTTGGTGGATGGACGGAAGGTAAATCCATCAGTATACCAAAATGTGCCTTGGCACTGTTGAAAGTATGGCAACAGAAGTTTTTAGTTGTTCCTACTTAAAGCCTCAGATAATATTTCAGCAATATCAGGGGGACACCAGAAATGCGCTTCAGACATTCTACCCATGTGGGGAATCGAATCTGGGTCTTCGGGCATGACAGGCGAACGCTTTAACCACTAGGCTACCCCACCGTCCTCTTGTTGGATTCCATTTGGGGGTTGTCTTATTCATGGGGTCGGCTTATAGACGGTAATATACGGTATATTGCTTTGTTTGTCAAATGTACCACTGACTGACTGACTGAGTTTGGTTTCTGCCGCTTTTAGCAATATTCCAGCAACATCACGAGGGGACACCAGAAATGGGCTTCACACATTGTGCCCATGTGGGGATTGAACCCTGACCTTCGGTGGCGAGCTAGCGCTTTAACCATTAGGCTACCCCACCGCCCCAAATGTACCACCAAATGTCTGTCTAAAAAATTGTAAAAATTGAAGACAATGCTAAATATGGTCAAGAAAAGACTTCATGCTTGCAGAAAGCAGTTTAGACATTACAGATAATGTTACCAAGAATTGACATTGTGAATAGCTTTAAGGCCAGACCAATTTTTTTTTCTTGTTTTACCGATTTTTGTCCTCAGAAAAACTAAAGGCAGGAGGAAAAAAATAAAAATCACCAGTCAAAGTAATATTCCTTTAAATACTAAAAGTGTTTTACTTTGGCAGTTTGTGAAGTGTATATGGGGCAAGGGTTTAGGGTTTAGGTTAGGGACCTAATCCAATGTAGTAGGTACATGTCCGATTGTATAAACACGAGTAACATTTATTTTTCCTTATCCTGACTCATGCTCTTTTGGATGTCTTCTTTTCTTCTACGAACATAGTGGAACACTTGTATCTCCCTAATTGAAGCTCCCTTCAATGTAAAATCACTAATTAGTACTCACCACGAGTTGCCTCCCTCTTCCTTAGCTGGCGGGGAAAGGAGGGCCACCCTCTGGCCTCATGCTTCACTCTCCTTCTTAAGCCCAGTGAGCAGGATGAGAGAAGCCTGTGTCTCCCACACACTATATCCTTTGATTATTCTTAGTTAGATACCTCTTATAGTTTACTATAGAGGTGTAGCTAGTATCCTTCATCAATATGTATTGATAATTAATCGTATTTCTACTGTTTATTCACGGGACTCCGTGATTGTTCAACTAGTTTACGTTGATGAAAATCTGTACTATTTGTAGATTACGTTTTCTGCTGCTGATCCGCATTTAATATGCCCTAGCTGTACTCGCGCCTTATGCGTTTTCTTCCGCGATTGCAGTTACTGTATTAATCTATCTAATTCTACATTTAATAAATATCGTCTCGTCTTGGGGGCGTGCAGCAGATAGGTCACGCAAACAAGGTTTAGCCATGGCCGATACATCGGACCCTAGCCAGTCAGCTGCTGTCGGACTGACCCCTCCCGTCTGGTGTTCCGCTAGAGTTACCCTCGAGGCGTGGGATGCAGTCCGCCCGTCTCCAAGAAGCGTCCTGCATCCCCAGACATCCCGTCGTCGCCAGCCAAAGACTAAGAGGGCCACCGACATCTACTCGCGCCAGACTCCGTACCCCCAGGGCAGCGTCTACCTCCAAGGGGAAATCAGCGAAGTCTTCCAGAACCTTCTCAGCCGAGATTGTTCCGCCCGCTGAACTGGGCCTGTATGATGATCAGCAGATCATCATACCCGATCTACACAAGAAGCGACCGGTGTCGGCAGCAGTGGCGTCAGCACAGATCGCCATGCAGCCAGATGTGTCTACACTGATGTCTGAGGCGATCTTCCTGAGGGGCCCCGTCGCTACCATCGCAGAGAGGGCACTGACTACATCTTCACAGACCGTCCCAGATGACCTGATGCGGCAGATCATGAAGATGATGGAGGACCGTTACAGACTAGAGAGACAACCAGCCCAGAGCCTGAGCCTTCAAGAAGGCTCCAACTTAAACGACATCCCAGAGGGACCCCGTCACAGCGTAAGCGGCCACGACCCAAGCCACCTCAGCGAAGGAAGTCACAGACCAGCTCGACGAAGGACCCAGATGTACAGCCTTCGCGGAAGGCCTTCGCGAAGGGCTTCTAGATCATCACCTACCTCGGACTCTGATGATCAACACTCACATAAAAGGCTGGAGAAGGAAGATCACCTCATCCCTGGACTCTGACTTCGGACCCCAGACTTCACGAGCGAAGCCTTCGCTAAGGTCAAGTCGCGTGCAGCTCCCCAGGACCCGGACTCAGATGAAGCTTCGCTGAAGAGTCTTCCACGAAGAAGGGCACCAGTTACAGGCTCCAAGTCATCTTCGTCTAGAAGGTCATCCAGGGATTCCACAAGAAGCCCAGCGAAGCTATCAACGTTCACCACATAGATCTCATCGCAGTTGTCAACCTATAGACGCAGCTCGTCAGGCCGTTCACAAGACGATCTCCCTGGCTGTTCTCCATGCCGATCACCTGCTCGTTCACCTGATCCTCTTCGTAGATCACCACGTCAATCTCCTGCGCAGGTCACTGCACAAGTCTTCACGGAAGTCCCAAGTCAGGTCTCCTTTAGCGTCACCCTGTAACAGCGGTAGAAGCATATAGGTCACCATCAGAAGAGCATCAACCTCTTATCAGCGATCCCGTTATAGAAGATGATGGAGGCATCATTTTCTCAGGCGCTGAGATACGCTATTGGATGGTTAACAACCTAGACCTATCTTCACCTTCCAAGAATGGTAATTCGGTGCACACTTACCTGATGAGGGAGGACGATGCAGACACCATCACCCTACCTCCGATCGACCCGATTGCTCACGGTCCCACAGAATCTGGACACAGCCTTCCATAAAGCCACACTTACCGCAGTTTAACGCAAGGAAGTTCTCAACCCATAATATGGACCCTTCCTCAAGGCACAAAGAGATCAATGATAACTACAAAGTGATCAAGCGATGTCAAGAATAAGAACTATAAGATTTTTGGCTTAAGCTGGTTCAGATAGAAACCATGACAAAGGCTTAATGTTCTTCGACCTTAATAGATCTAGAACGATCAATGAGACTCTTATCACCAGATTTCGAGACCCGACATCTGAGGATGATAGAATGATCTACTCGGCCCTACTTATGCAGAAGAAGGACCAGCAGTTCCTAACGGATCATCTCACATCAGTCTCAGCAGCTAACTCTAGCTCGTCGTCAAGGCCTCCCTCGCTTCCTGCAGCTGGGGTGAGCAGTTTACAGCTCCACTCTACACAGCCCGTGGTCTTCACCATCCATCCATAGATAAAGTCTCCAAAGGAAGTCACTAAGGATTCTAGAGTAGTCCTTATGATAAAGTCGATGGACACGCTTAGCCAGCGTCATCGGGCAGACTTCACAAAGATATTCAGGGAAATCTAAATTCACTGGATTACAGAAAGCACGGGATAGGAAGATGGCCAGCTCCAGGGGAAAAGATTCTTTTAAATTCAGCCCATATGGCAACTACAGAGGAGGATCAGAAGAGGCAGGGCACCCAGAGGTTCCCCGCAACTATAAACGATGAAAGACAGGTTGAACAACTGGAGTCTTCCACCCCAGCCGTTCCAGTACAACCGTCCACAAGTGGGTGGACACCTTCAACTGCACTGGGAGAACTGGGGAATGTTACAAGACCCATATGTCTCCAACATTCTTCGCACGGATATCGAATCCAACTACAGGCCATGCCTCCGCTGACAGTCAACCCTCACAAGTTAGGCTTCCAGGCAGCAACAACTACCAAAGTTAAGAGAGGCTGTTACATCTCTCCTAACCAAGCAGGCCATAGAAGTACTAGATCAAGTAAACATCGAGACCAGGCTTCTGCTCCCCAGTTTTCCTAGTGCCCAAGAAAAACTCCAAGGGAGAAATACAGACTCATTTACAACATGAGCACATTCAACAGAGATTATCTATCCAAACCCGTAGCGTTTAGCATGATACATCTACCTCAATTCACGGCACCTAATTCGTCCCCATGGACTACATGGCCAGTATAGATCTGCAAGATGCGTATCTACACATCCCGTTACATCGAATCAGGAAATACCTACTGTTTACACTAGGACGGGCTGTATTACTAATGGAAAGTACTCCCATTTGGAATATCATCGGTCCCCTGGTTATTCATAAGAGTAGCGAAACCTATCGTCACCTACCTACATCGTCTAGGGCTCACGCGAGTGCGTTCTACCTCGACGACGGGATACAAAGTAGATCAAGATCCACAGCGTCTCAAACTACGGTTAAACTTCATCATCAAGCTACTAACACAGCTAGGATGGTTAGTAAATCTACTCAAGTCGGACCCTAGTACCGCACTTAAGATCTGCAATTTCTAGGCATTCGATTTATCCGACTCTGAACCGTATCGTCGTACCAGAAGACCGATGGCTCAAGATCCAACAGACCATTCCACTAGCCCTACTCTCTCCGCTACCACTCACGACATTGGCAGAGTCTGTTAGGTCTCCTCCGTCAGCCCAAGACATGACAGTCAGAGGCAGACTACAGTTACGTCCGTTACAGGTCTTCATCAATGCTCATCTCGGCGACCTACAACCATTCAGTCACGAAACACCTCAGACCTCATCTACTATGGTGGACCAGGAGGTCGAATGTCTCGCGAAGGCATTTATTTAACAGAGCGAATTCAAAACCAATCTCTATGTAGGGCGTAAGCTCCAAGGTTGGGGAGCTCATCTTCGCCAAGCGGACCGGCATCAAGGGTTATGGAATCAGCAAGAAAACAAGCTCCATATAAACATGTTAGAGATGAAAGCAGTAATCAGCGTCATACTTCATTGGAGCACCATTCTACAAAAGCATCTGATGATTCATACCCGACAACTCAACAGTGGCGTTTTATGTGAACAAACAAGGCTCAGCGAGATCACTGAACCTATTGACTTTTTGCTTTCAACTGTTCGATC